ATGAAATGCATTGTCACAATTACAGTTCACTGCAACCTTGACCTCATGAGCTCAAGCAATCTTCTGGTCTCAGCTTCCTGAGTAATTGGAACTACAAGCATGTATCACCAGACCCGGCTAATTTATTTTTTTGTAGAAACAGAGTCTTGCTAGGTGACCCAGGCTGGCCTCCCATCTTGGTGTCCCAAAGTGCTGGGATTACAGGTATGAGCCATCATGCCTCGTCTCTCTCACATTTTAATCTTTATTCTCTAGCTCTGGAGATTCACTAGATGGAACACGTCTAGTACTTTAATGTGTATATTAAGAACTGGTATTGTTATAGTGTGATTTTTCCAAGATATACCTAAACACATAAAGATACTATGATCCTGATTTTCATTTTCCCAAATGGATTGCTACGCCCATGCAGTGTCTGAGTTTTGATAATTCATTAGGAAAACAGAGTTAGATTTTTGTTTGCTATAAATAGCAATACTCAGGTTTATTTCCTATGGGAATGATTTTGACACCCTTTCTAAGATCGCCACACTAAATTCTAACCCATATATTCAATTCTATTAAAACATTTAAATATTAGACTTACATAATTGAAATACCTTTTATATTGGACAAGATACACGTGTAAATGTAATAATACACATCAAAGCTTCTTCTATTAACAATTATTTTCACTGAAAACTTTAGAATTCCAATTTAATAAACTTAAAATCACATGCCATCAATGACCCCTGAATGAACCAACTGTCAGAGCTCTACTGTAATTACATCAAAAATTCATTTCATGAGACCAAAGTGCCCGGTGAAAAACACTACCAGCTCCTGACATAACTAATGTTTTGCTTCTATAAAAGCAAACCAGTAAATATGGCAAAATCGTGTTCACCTTTTAAAAATTAAAGCGCTGGGCTCGATGGCTCAGCCTGTAATCCTGTGCTTTGGGAGGTCGAGGTGAGTGGATTGCCTGAGCCCGTGGGTTCGAGACCCGCCTAGGCAATTTGGTGAGCCCTCATCTCTACAATAAATCAAAAAATCAGCCGGGCACAGTAGTACATGCCTATAATTCCAGCTTCTCGGAAGGTTGAGGCGGAAGGATCGCCAGAGCCCAGCAGGTCGAGGCTGTGGTGGCCGGGAGCGGCCACTGCACTCCAGTCTGTGCAACAGAGTGAGACTCCAACTCAAAAAATAAATAAATAAATAAATAAAAGCAAAAACAAAACCAGTTTGGTTTGGTTTATACCTAAAGAGTTTATAGCTACAAAAAATACAACATACTGACTCTTAACTAGCTTACCTCGGCTATGAATGAAAGCATTGGTGACTATGTGCTACTTAAACCTAAGCTCTAGGTCTTTCAAGGAGAAATTAGAGAAGAATCTGAGAAGGCATAAGACTATCTACAGTTCAAAGGATGATAAAGGTTGGTTTCAGCAAGGCACAGTGGTTCATGTCTGTAATCCCAGCACTTCGGGAGGCAGAGGTGAGAAAACTGCCTGAGCTTTGGGGTTTGAGACCAGGCTGGGCAACTTGACGAGATCTCATCTCTACAATAAATCAAAAAACTAGATGGGCATGGTGGTGCACGCCTGTGATTCCAGCTACTTGAAAGGCTGAGGCAGAAAGATCACCTGAGCCCAGCAGGTCAAGGCTGCGGTGGCTATGAGTGTGCCACTTTACAGCCTGGGTGTCAGAGTCAAAGATTCTGACCCAAAAAAAAAGGTTGGTTCCATTGTCACTTTCTTCCTTTCTCTATAAATAATTCTATTTTCATTACTATTTCCTAAGGAAGGGTCATTAATTATAAAGCAAATTTGGAGGGATTGGGGAAAAGTATGGAAGAAAGAAAAAACAGGAGAAAGCAATGACATGCCTAAAATTTTAGCAAAGCCCATTAGTAATTTTATACCAGTTAAATATAATAGTCCACCATCTGAAATAGAACAGCCATCATATTACCTCATAACCTATTACAAAAACCGTACTTGATTATTTCCTCTAATTAGTATTTGAGTTAATACAAAATGTGACAAGACTTTCTTATCGTTTTTTTTTTTGAGTTGGAGTCTCTGTCATCCAGGGTGGAGTGCAGTGGCACGCTCATGGCCACCGCAGCCTCAACCTGCCAGGTTCCAGAGATCCTTCCACCTCAGCTTTCCAAGCAGCTGGAACTACAGGCATGCACCACCATGCCCGGTTAGCTTTTTGTGATTTATTATAGAGACGAGGTCTCACCAAGTTGCCCAGGCTGGTCTCAGACCCGTGGGCCCAGGCAATCCTCTCATCTCAGCCTCCCAAGGTGCTGGGATTATAGGTGAGAGCCTCCTTTATCTTTTATCCCATGGATGGGTTATCCAGAAGCAGAAAGTACATCTAAAGTGATAAAAGTTTCTGTGAATATAAGCAAATAATTAAAATTAATTTCCTTCCAACTTCACAAATATATAAAACAACTGTGATTTTTTTTTTGAGTTGAGATCTCATTCCATTGCCAACATTGAAGTGCAGTGGTACTATCATGGCTCACCTTAGCCTCGACCTTGCTTGGGTTCAGGCAATCCTCTTCCCTCAGCTTCCAAGTAGTTGGGATTACAGGCATATGCCACCACATCTGGCTAATTTATGATTTCTTGTAGAGATAGGGTCTCACTGTATTGCCCAGGCTGATCTTGAATTCCCAGCCTCAAACAATCCTCCCCACCTCAGCTTCCCAAACTACTGGGATTACTGGTGTAGTGCCCGGTCACTCGTTGTATCAGTTGTTTCCCTTGGTGCTCACCTAGGTTCTGAATCATCCAAGCAAATTATTGTCTTTTGAATAGCTTCCCAGCCTCCTGCTTTTAAAGAATAATGTCACTACAAGTTTTTCATGAGCTTTTTAACCCATTCTTGAAAGGTTTTTATAATCATCAATATACACCCTGGCCATATTAACTAACTCTTTGCACTCAAAGACACCTCACGGATCACCTACCTGCAACTCAACCACTTTTTCATGAAACAGTAAAAAACAAAATCACTTCATATTAAATAGTATATCATTGGAACCAATTACCTTATTGTAATGATACTTGGCTTACAGTGGAATTTTGGACAATGAAGAACTTATTTGTAACAAGAAAAATCAAAATTTTATATCCTATATTTTTTAACACATAAAACAGTCACCAACACACATAGCAGGTTCATTGATATGTGTTGTGCAACAGTCATTTGTTTGATGTCTTCTACCTGGTATTTTTCTATTTGAGTTAGACAATGAAGTCTTGCCTTCTTCCTCCCACATTCATAGTATATGGATTTATTGTCCAGTCTGTGCACCACTGTGAGAGCACTTCGCACTCTCTATGCAACACCAGCTGATATTTTTTAACATATATCTCAGTATATACTCCATCTCTCTAGTTGCTTTTTCGTGCAATTTGAATGGAAAACTTCAAGGAGATAAACATTTTTAAAAAATTGGTGCTAAGTTTGCCCTGTATAATCACCAGCAATCTCTTTATGCCCCCTGAGAGGGTTCATCCGAATGGTTTGCCAGTTTTACGACAACCCCTCAGAGAGGACACTCAAGTGCAAAGGGTTAAACTGCTTAGGCATTGTGAATTAAGGCAGCTCTAATGACTGAATGATCCAAAATGGGATCGCTTGACAAGATGTGAATAAACAGTAATAGGACTCCTTTTCAAGTCCTTTAAATGTAAACTTTAAAAAACTCCAAACTAAAATTCAGAAACATAGTCTTTATTACTATAAAAAGTATAAGCATTCATTTCCCATGATATATATTCCAAGTCCTTAAAGGCTGGCACTATGTCTTATTTCTTACATTGTTTTTATCATGGAGTAAAGCAGATCATTTGCATAATAAGTTTTATTAGAGCATATAAAATTGATGTATCCATTCATTCATTCGATACTTGTGAGTGACCACACTTGTTAGTTACCATGAAATACATGGGTGATTCAGTTGCAACTGACCCTCATACTACATTTCGAGGACAACTGATGTAGACAGAGACAGAAGATGAGAAGGTTCAAAGCTAAGAACTGGAAGACACCAACATTTAAACCTTGGTAAAGGAAGAAGAGTCTGCCAAAGATAATGAATAGGAACAAAAAGACAAGGAAAGCTATATCCTCCTCTAGATACAGTTAAAAAACTGAGTGGTAAACCGCGTTGAATTCCACTGAGAAAAAAGAAGAAAGAGAAAAATGAACGTAACAATCAAAGTCACTGGTCACCTTGATAGGAAGGGGTGGAGACCCTCTTGAGTACTTCATGTAGTAAATGGGAAATGAGGAAAATAATGATAACTCAAGACATTTTTGACCCTGAAGGGGAATAAATAAAAGGTCCAGTAATTGGGGAAGGACAGAAAACGTGGAAGAGAGAATTCAGAATCCTTTTATGGTTCATTTTTTACCAGACCTGTGATGTCTTACCAAAGTATATGAATTACGTCTTTTCACATAATAAGTTTTTTGTTTTGTTTTGTTTTTGTTTTTGAGCTGGAGTCTTACTTATTCGCCCAAGCTGGAGTGCAGGGGGCACACTCACGGTCACCCCAGCGTCAAACCGCTAGGCTCCAGCAACCCTTCCGCCTCAGTCTTCCAAGTAGTCAGAACTACAGGCATGCGCTACCACGCCCAGCTAATTTTTGATTTACTGCAGAGATCTTGCCAAGTTGATTTATTGTAGAGGTCTCGCCAAGTTGCTGGACTGATCTCGAACCTGTGGGCTCAGGCAATCCACTTGCCTTGGTCTCCCAAAGCGCTGGAATTACAGGCTGAGCCACCGAACCCGGACCAATAAAGTTATTTTTAAAATGGCTTTCATTTCAAACTTTAAAAATCCAACTAGACATCAGAGAGTTTTTCAATATGAACCATATATAATACGACTTTCCCCCAAAAATATAGAGAACCACAATTTCAAATGTTTCCTCTCTCCACAAAAAAGCTGGTGACTGTTTCATTTCCTAGCTCTTAATGTTATTTACCCTTGCAAGATCCTCTATTTCAGAACTGAAGTTTGCTTCTCCTTCCATCATTTCTTCCTCTTCTAATGTTCGTTCATCATCAAAATCATGAACCAGCATGTCAGCTGATGGATCAAATTCATGGTCATCTGATGTTGCTGAACCTCCTGGTAAAGAACATTTCAAAAAGTTTGGTAAACCAAATTAAGTGTATCCTATTAATATTAGTGTATGTATATGCTTTATTTATCTGAAACTGGATATAATTAAAAGTACCTGGAAAAAGCTATACACGGCAAGTATTTATTGATTTTTTAAAATCCTTGCCCTTATGCTTTACCACTACAAAAAAAAAAATCCCACTCTTCTAAGAGATTATTTTTTTGCCCTGTCTCGGCCCTATATATTCTGTTACAACTACAAGACTAGGGGGAAAATATCTGTAGCTTAAAGTGTTGTAATTTTATAAACACAAAACTTTCACTGAATAAACTGCCATATCAAATAAGAATGACCTTTACATGTGAGGAAAAAAAACTACAATTATTAACCTTTGATTAATGTTTGATAGACCCAATAATTCCTATGGCCTGTGAGAAAAATGTCAGCCCTCCATAACCCTGGATTTGGCATCTGTGGATTCAACCAAGAGCAGACTAAAAATATTAGAGAAAGCTTATGTGAAGATATGCATAAATATATGCAAATATGACACCACTGTATATTAGGGACTTGAGTATGCACCATTTTGGTATCCAAGGGAGATCCATGAATACTGGAGATGACTGTACAGTCATGTGAAATATATAATTAACTGAATATACAGTCTAGTGAAGATACAGCTGCACTCAAATATTATTCTTCTATCAGCACTTCCTTGAAAATACATTCTAGTATTTGAGTAGTTATCCTAGACTTACTTAGTTGATTTTGATCTAAAATAACTCAAAAGATAGAGTGTAAAAGTAAACTTTATTAATATTGTGGCCTGGTACTATGGCTCACACCTGTAATCCTAGCATTTTGTGAAGCCGTGGCAGGAGGACTGCTTGAGCCCAGGAGTTTAAGACCAGTCTGGGCAACATAGCGTGACCTCATCTCTATAAAAATACAAAAAATTAGCCAGGCATGGTGGCACGCACCTATAGTCCCAACTACTCGGGAGCTGAGATGGAAGGATTGTGTGAGCCCAGAAGATTAAGGCTGCAGTTAAGTCATGACTGTGCCACTGCATCCCAGCCTAGATGACAGAGTAAAACCCTGTCTCAAAATAAAAAAAAGGCATACAGAACTCTTAACAAAGACATTAAAGATAATCTAGTAGATAACTAATGTGTAAGTTAATCTGTTTTTAGCCTGGTGGTTGTGGAATACTCCTGGACTAACAGGGCCAAGCCCTATAATAGTAGACTGCAACGGCTGTTCATATATATTCTATAAAATATCCCATTTGACCATGGCCAAACCTGGACTTAAATTTGCAAAACCACTGTTTACCAATAAAACAAATGGATTACTTAACACTAAAAAAATTAACTACAATTTTTTAATCAGTCTAAGATGTTGAAGGTTATGTAATAGTTGTACCTATTCTTTCATTTCACTTGAGCAAGAGAACCAATTAGTAAAACAGAGATACAGCTGACTTCTCGGGAACCCAGCTATTATGAGTAAGAGTGCCCAAAGCTCAAGGTTCTTCAGTCACCTCCCACAATTTCCAGAATAAAAATCATTTTTTGAGTGCTTACTATGTACTAGACAGTATGCTCAAGCACATCCTTTATATTATCTCAATTAATGCCCAAACAATTCCATGAAGTGTTATCATTCCATTTAAAGAGGAAAAAAACAAAGACTCAAGACTTAGAGTGTTTAAGTAACATGTCTAAACTCAGAGCCAGTAGGTGGCAAAGACAGAATTTGAATCCTGGGAATGCTAATTCCAAAATCTATACTTTTATTGCACTCCATGTCTCCAGTAAGTCTGTAAGAATCCTGCCTCAAGGAATACTTAAGGGGAGTCTCTGTTTACTAAGATGAGTGAATTCAAGCTAGGTCAGATGACAAAGCACTTAAAAGTCATTGTGCCCTTTGAGGAGCATTAAAAAAATCGATAATTACCTGGCAAATCAGGTATCTTATACCAGATTATAGTAAAAATGAGATAACACTTATCAAAGCTTTAGAATAATTTACAAAAGAAAAACATTTAGGAAAGTATATCATCTTAATTTCTTCCAGTTATTAAGAAAAGCTTGCATAAATTTTAGTAGAACATCTTAGTGTTCACTGGGGTAACGGACACAGGTTTCACAGGAGCACAACTTGAGAATCACTAATTTAGCTGCAATTTTGTTTCCCACTCATTATTTCTATCTCATTTCAATGGAAAACTCTCTTGAAACTTTTTCTGCTCAACTCAGCAATCTCCTGGGACATCTAGCAGTCAATCATCATGTATTCTTACAGATGACGCTATACTGTTCTTTTTTGTAGGCAGAAAGACCTTAAAAAATCCTCACACCACCTCTTCTGTATACTATTATCCCAATAAGAATATAGTTATTAGATGAAAGTACTGCCAAAAATAATTATGCTTAATTCCTAACAATAACTTACTGTTAAACTCTATTAACTTCTAAAAAATTCAAGCCTATGAGAACACAGTATCAAACTCTGTGTGTTATATGACTTATCTGAAGTCCCTATTTTTTGTCATTATTTGCAAAGCCAAGTATATATGAAGGCTTAACACTTCACTCCCTTCACTACCTCAAATAACGAGTAAGTGAACTTTCTCTAATTTCTCACTCCAAATTCATTTCCCCACATACACACCACACTGTTTTCTATAATCTTTCAATTTCCTTTTTTTTTTTGAGTTGGAGTCTCACTCTGTCACCCACACTGGAGTGCAGTGGCCGCTCCCGGTCACCGCAGCCTCAACCTGTTGTCCTCTGGCCATCCTTCCGCTTCAGCCTTCCAAGTAGCTGGAACTACAGGTGCGCGCTACCACGCTCGGCTAATTTTTGATTTATTGTAGAGATGAGGTCTCGCCAAGTTGCCCAGGCGGGTCTTGAACCCAAGGGCTCAGGCAATCCACTCACCTTAGCCTCCCAAAGGCGCGGGATTACAGGCTGAGCCACAGCTCGGCTTCAATTTCCATTTTTTATCTTGCTTTACCTGACCCTCTTTATCAGACTTTTTTATGCATCGTTTTTTAGGACCAACTAACCCATCCTAGTCCTTTCTGTAAATTGCTAGGTTCATCGTTAGACTGTTTCCTGTGGGGAAAAAAACCCCAATAAAAACTGTTAGGAGTAGAAAGTCTGATGCTTTGTATAAATAAGTATTTTGCTTCAGAGTTGAGGCAAATATTACTGCTTTGTCATAAAATCTCATTCTACTGAAAGTACTTTACATACATTTTTCCAATGACTCAAAGATAAATTCAGTTTAAATTTATCATGTGCACTCATTTAATCACTTTTTAAATCATCTTCCCTTCTCTTAATTCCCACCTTTCATGGCCACTAGTCTTACAGGAAAAGTTTTGTATTGTGTCTCCACTTTGGTTTTCACACTGGAGTCTACAGACAAGCCAATTGATGTGGTCATGTGACTATTATCCCTAGCAATGATTCCAAAGTATAGATGCAAAAGACAGTCTTTTTACTAGTGGACCATGCATTTTTTTTCACATGAAGTCTCCATTCCTAGTTTTCCCCACCAACTTTTGTAACTGTTCATAACTAGTATTTACAAGAACAATAACTATTCCCTAGGGCAAAAGTCCAATATTACAAACGCTGTCTAATCCAGAAAATCTTCCTCAATCTGAAAACAGTCTAAAAAAATATAAATATTACTACTATATATATAAGTATTCAACAAGTAACAAAGCTGTCAAAGACATCTGTATTCTTCAAACTCCACTATTCTTCCAGTTCAGCCTAGGCTGATTCAAATGCAGTGGAAACTGAGAAAGTCATTTAATATAACTTTTGGAGTAATTATTTTTTACGTATCTATGCATTATCTGATAAATGCCTCAAAAACTCAAAACATCTAAAACTCAGTCTATCTGCAGTATCACAGTATTAATAAAAACTAAAACCTATTTTTCTCAATAAAAAAGAGAAAAGTATTGGAAACAGTTCCATGTCATAAAAAGAATATGGTGATCTAATATGTATTTCAGGTCAGAGTACTTCCAATCTCAACCATTCAGAATATATGTATAAATCAGGAAGTTTAAAAACAAAAACAAACCCTTGATTTTCAGAAATGCCACAAAGTCTAATGCACTTTACTTCCAAGTGTAGTATAAAGAGTAAAACATCTTCAGGTGCAATAAAGATGACAAAATCAACAGTTAACTAAGCGCAGGAATCATTTAACACGGATGTAGAGGTGCTCCAGTCCAATCCCTAAAGAGTAAAATGATTTTGTACCCTGAAACCATAAGCCTGAAAAAAGGCTTACATTAATCATTTGTAAAAACTTTTTCTTATTTAAAACACAGAAAGGTGACTGTGTCAATAAACGGGAAAAATCAGTTATGTGGAATATATAGTATCTAAACATGCAATACATGTAAGATGTTTCAAATAAAACATCACCATGCCTTCATATGCTCCCTTTCTCACTCTTCTACCCTGGGTTGGGTGCTCCTTAACTCGTTTAGTCCAGGTGGCAGGCAATCCCATCTCTCTTGGTAAAGTCACTGGATACTAAGGTCAAAAGAGTACTACCTGATTCTTTATTCACGTCTATTTAACTCCAATGAACTACTGCCATGTAGAAATGCTATACCCAGTGGTGCCAGATCCTGTGATTCATCATGAGAACCCTAAATCCAGATTTTCATTTAAAATATTGTAATTCTTAAAGTTCACTATAGTAGCCAAACAAAAAACATCTGTGGCCCAGATGTGGTCAGGAGATCACAAGCTTGCAACATCTCAATTAGGAAAAAATTTAACTGTACTGTATTTGGGAAAGAACACAAACATCCTAGATATATGGTCGGAGGATAAAACTTGATCCCACTCAAATCTAAGAATAACTTACTTAATCTACAACATTAAATATTCACTTGTTGAATCTCTTGCTTACTTTATTTTTCCCTCTCTCTCTAAACGCATTAACAATTTTTTCTCAAATAAAATGCGCTGAATTTCTTACATAATCAAGTATTTCTAAGCTGATTCTTTTTTCAAAGATACATTTCATATGTACTTCAAGCCAAATAACAATTTAAAACTATAAGAAATGCATATAAAAATTCATCAAAAAAGAAAGAGAACCCAAAAATGGTCATGAGGATGAACTAACAGTAGCCTCACCTGTACTTTCATGGGAAGTCAAACATTTCATCCATTTCTTTTTCCCCAGAGAAAAGAAGCATTCAGAAGAAAAGCAAGTCAGATGACAGGCTAACTCTTCTAGCCTCTATGCAACAAATGTCAGTCAAACAGAGATTATAAAAAATATTTACCTGGACTTGAAGATTCAACAGACGGCTGAGGGGGGGAAAAGAATAAAAATTAGTACTTTTATATCGTTTATCTTCACAAACATTACAGAAATTATTCAAATATGACACCAAAAATTATGGTAAACTTTAATGTCTGAATTGTCTGAGACAAACTAAAATGTCCCATATAATCCTTTTTCTCTCAATATATTTAAGCATAAAGAAAAATTCAAAGCACTTGAATCTAGAAACAAAGACAGCAATATGGAATGGATTCAGATTTTAAAGGCAAATATATGGGCCTCATAACATATGTGGTTTAAAAGATATGATTTTAGATCTTGGGATTATCTGAAGTTGATTTTTCTCCTAGCAGTAGAGGAAAAAACTATGTACAAAGTTTGCTATCAAACTGGTCTCTGGCTTTAAAAAAATGAGTGTGATGGGCGACAAACAATTTTTAAAACATTATTTTAAATAAAAATGATGTTGTAAGAAAGCATTAATGATGTTGTAAGAAAAAATTTAAATGTTATTTAAGTACCAAATACTACAGTAGGTTAACTTTACTAAAAAGCAACATATTTTAAAGTTATGACAGAATTAGCAACCATTCAAGCTGAAGACTAGAGAGTTTAGGCCAGTGGAAGACAGCATAGATGATCAATTATAATGCTCCCTCAACTGTGTCACTCTACCTCTCATAAATTTAACCACAAGCAATTGAAGAATTGGTAGTAACTTGTTTTAGTAATGCTACCACCTGACAGTGTGCAGTTGTTTATCTAAATTCAGTTGATTCACAGTTACAAACAGGTCATCTACAAACATAAACTCCTACAAGTTCAATAACAAAACTCAAAAGATGCTTCAAAGGACAGAAAATGTGTAACTAAAACATTGCTGATTCACCCAAAGATATTTCATGCCCATGAGAAGAGAGATGGTGGGAGGCCAAAAGCACTAGCAAAACAGAGACTGAGACGCACGGCATTTTCTTTCCCTCTGTTAACTAATGGAGCAGAGAGGCAAGACGGAGAGCAAAACAGAAAGGAGGGAAATGCTCAGTTTTCCAAAAGGTAGGCGTCAAAGACAAATTCCTATAAGGCATTATAATTGTTTCAGAAACTGTCCACTTTATGCAATTTTAAGTACGGAATTCTAGATTCCACAGGGTGACTCACGTTATATTCTTTTGAGGCACACTTTTTCAAAGGTCCTATTTTTTTTCTTTTAAAGTCTTGTAAGAGAACAGTTCTTTCCTATGGCATTGTATAACAAAAAATCAACAGTACCCACTATTACACATTTCCAATATCGCACCACCATCATTATTTAAGTTACTCTACCAGAACATGGTAAACATAGTGCTACGTTTTAGTTTGATTCCTCTAATGGGAAACTGGAGAGCAGGGTGACATGGAGAGAGTAATGTGACCACAAAAGAGTTTTTAGCTTACTTAATGTCTTTGGGCAGGGCTACACATTTCTGGTTCAAAATAGATTTAACCACCACACAAATTATTACACAGAAAAATCAATATTTTAACCTATTAATCCACTTGAGTTCCATGCAGTTATAGTTTATTGCCCAAGTGTAAGCACGATCTCTGTGCAAGGCTGCAAGTAATGTCAATGACCATCTTCATCTGGTCCCAGGCTCACTATCCACAGAGAGCAGCCTTATGAACACACCAGTAATTATGCCATATGACCGTTTTCTGGCTGCGCACGGTAGCTCACATCTATAATCGCAGCACTTAGGTGGGCTGAGGTGGGAGGACCACTTGAGACCAGGAGTTGAGACCAGTCTGGGCAACGTAGTGAGACCCCCATCTCTACCAAAAAATTTTTTAAAATCAGGTGGGCATGGTGGTACTTGCCTGTAGTCCCACCTCCCTGAGAGGCTGAGGTGGCAGGATGACTTGAGGTCCCAGCCCTGTGTCTCAATAACAGCAACAACAAAAAACAGCTTTCAGGCAGACCTGAAGCCCAGAACCTGTGACTCCTCGGTGTTCCTTCTATAAGAAATAACTATGTAAATAACCCTCATGCCCTCTTCTCCTTCTCTTTTTCTTGTTTTTGAATAAAAAGGCTTTCTGATTACTAAATAAAGGAACATTTTTATTGACATTAGATAGTAATAGGGATTTTGAATTGCAAATGACATCAGTATACTTCTGTTTATAAAAGGTTTCAACAGCACTAAATGCCAATAAATATCATACTGATCATTATTTTACTAGAAAATAGTTACCACTCTAAAGTTCTGAAAGGCTCCCCAAACTTTCCAGTCATTAAGATATAAAATGTTTCCCAGAAGACTGGTAGCATTTGTAAACATAACTGGTACAGAGTAGAAGAGTCAGTGTTCAAGGATAACTTTAATGTGACATCATATCCAAACATACTGGAATGTTTCAAGGACTAATTTGAAGGCATATCTAGATTAGCATAGAAGGAGAAGAAGTCGGGATGGTTTGCCTATAGATACATTTAGCATCTGTACACATTTTAGTATTTTATGTCCAAAATAAAATTCTATTTTATCAGTCAGGGGATAGGACTAAGATTGTTGCTTTGAAGTTGACTGTATCCAGTTAAATTGAAGACGAGTTTCTGAAAAACTGGCATTTGAAAACAGTTCATACTATAAATATTACTTTTCTAAGCAAGTATCAAAAATGATTATCTTTCAAGATAAAAAGTGAGTTTAATAGCATAATATAGGAGGATTCAGTGTGGAACAAGGGCAAGTTTTAGCCAGTTTACCCTTACATGGCGCCACACATTTTCAAATGCATCTGGTAACGCTTTACCTCTCTCCTCCTCCCGTCCACTTCTCTTTTCTTTTTGAATGGTTTGCATCAGTCCAAAGCAAGTTGAAAATGTGACTGCAGGTAGTCATCTGTCACACTAGATTGCAATCTGTCTCTTTAGAAACCGCTGTCTCTAACAATATCCTCCAGAAAAACCTGCAGCATCTACCATCATTGTGGTAAATTAGAATGGAGGAAGAAGAGAAAAGACCCAAACTAAAGCTAAACACACACTTACTTATTATAACCATACCAAAGTTGAGAAAAAGCTCAACCGTAAGCAGTAAAGACTACTTACCACTGGGCATTAAAATGAATTTTAAATGCACTCATACGTTATTGGTAGAAATAAACAAAACTGTTGTTTCAATTGTTCTAGGGATCATTTTGCCAACATAAACTTACCCTATTGATGCTCTGAAAAAAAGTACACCAAGATATACATATAACACTCACTACCGCAATGTTGTTCACAGCAAAATGCTGGAAAACCAAATTTAAGATTCGCCACTTAACTATTAGAAATGATATACAGTTCTTCCAAACAATAGAACACCATGAATCCACTAAAAAGAATGAGACATGTCGATAGGAAAAAAATGCTTAAAAATATTATATGTATGTATGTTATATATTTATATATGGAGTAAAAAGAAAAGTGTAAAGCAGGGAATAAATTGGGTTGGAATACATAATTTTCTCCCAAAAGGCATATATACACGAACTTGCTAATAATGGTTATCTCTGGAGAATGGGTCAGAGAAGGAAGGCTTTTTTTTCATTTTCTACCTTTCTATACTGTTGTAATTTTCCAACCACTTTTATGCACTACTTGCTCTTTCCTAAAAAGAAAGTCGGGGGGATTGAGTATCTTGAGGAATTATGAGCCATTTTCATCTTCATCCTCTACTTTTACATTTTAAAGAAAACCTAATACTTGCTACTTTTTAAAATCTAATTTTGAAAAATTACGTTGTTTTTGGAAACATACATATTTACTGTAACCTATATGAAAAATAACACCAGAGAGACAGAAAGACACACACACAGCATATGAATGGGCTAAATCAAATTAAAAAAAAAAAAAAAAAAAACTCTAGTAACTTTTATGGCAAGTCACTCTCACTCATATATTTACATGATTTAGTTGATAAAGTTGCTAACAGCTCTAACAAATATTCAATGCCTCAGATTTGTTTTTCTTGTATATATTTTTTTCTTGTATATTTTTCTAGAACATGGTGAGAAACGTCCCATAGGACAAAAGACTATAATTTGGGTGAGAGTAAAAGATCAACTAACTACAAAATATTATCATTATTTTTACAAAAGAAAAAAACTAAGGTAGTTAAAATATGAAGTAATCACTAGACCTTTTCATTTGAGGCAATCAAAAACCTATTTTCAATAAGTATAACTGTCTGAATGTATTTGTCCTCTCAAACCAATTCCACCACCATTCCCCGAATGTTACCATTACCTACTTAGTTATATGTACTCTAAATCAGAGATCCTCACAGCAATGGAGATAGATGGAATAGAGGTAGGGCCCCTGCTTCAGGATCAAAGGTTCAGGGATACTGTGCCCAGAGCTCCCCATCCCTCTCCCCTGATACAAAACTAAGCACTGGCTTTTCTGTTATCGTCCATGAATGCTGGGGTACAAAAAGGTTAAGAATGTATCACAGTTAAAATTAGCGATTTACTACAGAAGTAATAATTCAGAAGATAGAATCAAAAGTCTGGTTTCCAGTATTAACTGTGCCCCAGACTAACTGCATGACCTACTCAGGGTCATTTTCTCTGTGACGAAAATATTTAGGTTTCTTCAAGCTTAGTTCAATTGCTTTCCAGACCTACTTCTTTACTTTTATTATGTATTGTTCAAAAAACATAACACTACTAAGGAGTACTTAGCTAAAAGAATGGGATATGCTTTTAACAGTCTCTTCGGTAAGGAAGAGATAACCTCAATGTGCAAAAAGCCTTTTTGGGATGCTACTTTATGATTTTCATATCTGCAAAAGCATAACAGTCATTCTTCTAAGCCACAGATTAAGTCATGTACGGCTGGTACATGAACAGTTTCATTACTGCAGTGGAACTATCTGCAAATCTTCCGAAACACATAAAGACTTGATCTGAGCGTCAAGCAAGACATTTCTATGCAGCTGATTTCTTTTCATAAAGACATGTTTAAACTTAAATGGTAGTGGTGGTTTATTTCTAAATTATTTGGATAACTGAACAGTGTCACCAGAATTACCTTAAAGTAATATACTTCTTTATTTTTTCCAATAAACCTTTCCCATTGTTATCAAGTACTTCAACTCTTACAGCCATCAAATTAAGCTTTTTTAGGGCTCACATGCAATGGTTTCTTGACCACTCTGGATAAAACCCTAATAGCTCTGCAGTATAAACACTAAGATAAATTTTAATTACCAGTATAGAAAATGATTTAAAGTGTATTTCAGTGAAACAAGTTTTGTTTAGACTAGAAATTAACATCTTGAAGAGCAATCTTCAACATGATCCTACTTCCTTAAAAAACAAAATCCAGATACACTCAAAATGCTCAGCAAGAAGTCTATTTTTAAGAGAAATAGATGTGACAGTGAATAAACAGATTATATACCACTTTTGAAAATATTAAAATCCTTTAAGACGGAAAAGCAACTCCATTAAATGTTTTTATCTTCATATCCCACAAATGTGGCCTAGGTGAAAAGATAAGGTTGCTCTTGGACTGTGCTGTGGTTTTTTTTTTCTTGAGAAGAAAGTCCCTTATGTGTTTACAAACTCTGAAATAAAAGACAAATTGTTCGTTCCCAAAGGTCCCTACACCACATTCCTTAAAAACCCCAAAGGATCAGCTATTTCTTCCTCGTATTTTTTTCCCCTCTCTCACTGCCTTAGCAAAACTGCAACTATCTCATAATTTCCTTTCTTTAAGTTTGACTAGGAGAGCCTCCTTTTAGAAGGTTGTTAAATAATTTTAAGGGATAATAAGCAATGAGAAATACTGCCAACAGGTATTAAGAAAGGGGGCATACTCCTTTTTTTCTAAGCACATTAAATATGTTTTTAATGTTACTACAACTGAAGACTCATTAAATTTATACTTTCTATAATGGACCAGTAGGATCAAGCATGAAAATTTGTATATTCTCTTCATATCTAAAGCAATTTGTATTCAAGAATTAAATATTCTTCTGGGAAAACATGGTCATGGTCTTTTGTGGGAAGCAACAACAACAAAAAACCAGAAGGGTAATACCTACATTTTTCTCTGGAGACACGGTTCTGCAATGAACTGTTTTTTTCCTCTCAGATTTATCAAATACATACATACTGTTACTTTGCATTTAACGCTATTTCCCAAGTTATGTTTCAGTTCTCAGGTCTACTTGACTAAAAGTGCAACAGTTCAGCATCCGAATTATTTCACCACATGCTCTATACTGGCATCATAAAGAACGAATCTACTAAAAGATCAAACAAAGGCAAGTAAAAACCAACCACGTATTTCTCCTTCAACTAATCTTTTAAAACCACTGGTATCAAAACTCACTCTAGTTACTAAGTAGTGACACCAGAGACGTTAATTTTACTTTTCACCTGTTTTAGATTTGTTTTTGCAGGGTACAGATCAACAAAGTTCCTCTACTCTTCCCCAAATTCATTATAAGTAACACCATCTACAAGTGACTGACGAATACAAAAGATATCCAATTATTTAACAATACCAGGTACTTAAATAATGCCCTGAAAACTAAATTCAGGTTTTTCTGCTTGAAACTGAACCATCCAGGTGTTCCCACAAAACATGAGAGTTCACTTCTCCGCGTGAAAAAATAACGATGTAAGAAACCAAAACATACACTAGAAAGTAAGAAAATGACTAGTGACTCAAAACACTAGTGTCCTCCCTTTATCTCACATTAACGCAGCCATCTTGAGCTTCTAAAACAAGAACAAACGTTAACATGCTTCCATTGACATTAAGTTTTCTGTACGCTGGGCAGAGTAACACGTCTGAGGTTTTCTTAGCTTGAATTTCACGGCATACGCTAAGCTCCGTTCCTTCAGTAACTTCTTGCCTCAGAAGATGACAACCAACTCCACGCGCCAATCACTGTAAGCAGCACCCGGAGAGAAGAAGCCGTGCCCCGTCCGGCCTGTCTCGGGGACCGAGACCCACCGAAGGTCAAGCGGCCACAGGTCCGCACGCCCAGCCGCGTGCGACTCCTCCTCCGCACAGATGCGAAGGAGGGGAACCGCAAGAACCCGCCAGGACCGCGGCCCAGTTCCGACTCTCAGTCCGCCGCATCCAGCCCATCACATCCGAGCCAAGGAGACAGCTCTGGCAGCAACGGGAGCCCCCGGCTCCACAGAAGCACGGAACGGCGAGCGGG